AGAGCAACCATCGGCTGTTATGGCGGCCCACACCATCACCATGGCCGGCGCTTGAGTTCTGGTGTCTGGTGGCAAACCGATGGTGCACATTTTCATCTGACCTCTATTTTTCCGATTTCGGACACAATAGTACAACGTATTGGTATCCGAAGATTTTGGTGACCATTGTGCGTTGGAAATAAAGCGAGGTACTGAGCCCCGTTGGAATGTCCAAGGTCTGCGGCCAAAATTTTTGTCTGGCCAAGGCTTTAATACACCCTCCAGAATATTTTCGCCATAATATTCGGCATTTATTCTGATGTCACGGTCGATTAATACGAGCGGAGAACGACCATCGGCTGTTATGGCGGCCCACACTATCACCATGGCCGGCGCTTGAGTTCTGGTGGCCAACCGATGGTGCACATTTTCAGCTGACCTCTTTTTTCCGATTTCGGCCAAGCGAAGCAACTCTTTAGGTTTCTTGAGTCCAATTTCTTTTTGTTGCGGTGTACGTTCTTGCACTTTTTGGAATTTCAATGGCTTTACCCCGAGATCAATTTTCAATATTTGCCGACGAATGGAATATTGCGATATGTTCAGCTCACGAGCCATTTTTCGGCCACTGCGACGCGGATTTCGATCAAGTCGCTTCTTTACTTTTCGAACCATTTCTGCTAATGTTGCTGTTTTCTTCCGTCCACTTCCTTGACGTTGGGCTACGCTACCCAGTATCACGGTAACAAGCGATGGTACGAGACACAAAAGATTTATTGACATTTAAATGCTGGAGTGCTCTAACGGTAGCCACTTGTGTTTTTCCAGCCAAATCGAAAGAAATCACACTATCACGCTTGAATTCCATCACGAATAACTTTTTTCTGGAAAATTCTTACCAAAATGCTTTTGTACGCTTGTAAACAATATAATTAGCTGTCGCTGGAATAATTTTAACAGCTGTCGGACGAGTGGTTTAGAAATGACAGCAGTCTGAAGTTGGTTGCAGGTTTTTCATCTCCCTCTGTACACCTACACACACACATGTATGTATGTATTTCATTTGTACGAATTGTATCCTGCCAAAAAGTACACATTTATTTATAGCTTGTTTATTTGTGTATCAGTGACAGGGAATACCCCAACCCGTAGTTCACTCCCCTCTTCCAATTTGTCATGCTTCCAAATATAAACTCAAAAATTAGATTCTACGGTTTTGCTAGCTTTATAATTTGATTTAAATCTATGTTGCCAGTTGTTTGGCCCGTCCGTCCGTCCTGACTGATAATGATTTCCCCAATTCAATCTCAAATATCACACATCTGTTTGCCTGCCGAGACAATTAGTTTGGTTAGATTTATTTTTGACATATTTTACGCTTCGAAACTAAAACATTATTGAATTATAATAAATTTGGTAGTTTATAAAATCAATAAAAAGTTGAGTGCATGCTCAAAATTTGTGGGCAGAATACCTATGAAATCAATATCGATAGACGACAAAAAAAAAAAAAAAAAAAAAAAAAAATACGAAACAAATTGTGACAGGTTGTGGTTTAGGGACGATGTTGTGGTTGTGAAAGAAATATTTATTTTTAATTGAGGTATGCAAAAAAAAAACTTTTTCTTAAATAAAAAAACTAGTTATTGATAAAATTTTTTTAGACAAAATAGGAAAAGGCGTCATTATATTCGGTAGGAATGAAATTTGTATATAACGCAGGGTGGAGAGCCATTTTTTTAAAATTTGCAATTTGACGAATATCGTCGCCTAACCCATATGTCAAAATCGTTAAGGAAATTAAGGAAATTTCTTAAATATAACAAATTCAAAAAATGTCTCCAAAGGAAAGGAAAAAAGTATTGGTAGGACAATACTTGGGGGCAACATACAACGGTACCTCCCTATATTCAATATTTTGATGATTTTAGCGACATTATTAACCTGAAATGTTTCAAATTTGGTATTTGAAATTCGTAATAGATACTAAAACCTGTGACAGAAAATCGTCTATGCTGGTCCAGGTCTTCGTATAGACCCCATATAACAGTACCTCCCTTTATTCGATATTTTGATTATTTTAGCGACATTATTCAACGGAATGGTCTTAAATTTGGTATTTGAAGTTCGTAATTGATGCTACAGCCTGTGACAGAAAATTGTCTGTGCAGGTCCACGTCTTCGTATAGCCCCCATATAACATTACCTCCCGATATTCGATAGTTTGATTATTTTAGCGACATTATTCAACGGAATTGCCTCAAATTTAGTATTTGAAGTTCGCAATGGATACTACAGCCTGTGGCAGAAAATTGTCCATGCAGGTCTACGTCTTCGTATAGCCCTCATATAACAGTACCTCTCGATATTCGATATTTTGATGATTTTAGCGACATTATTAACCGGAATTGTTTAAAATTTGGTATTTGAAGTTCGTAATGGATACTACAGCCTGTGACAGAAAATTGTCTGTTCAGGTCCACGTTTTCATATAGCCCCCACATAACAGTACCTCTCGATATTCGATATTTTAATGATTTTAGCGTCATTATTCTACGGAATTGGTTCAAATTTGGTATTTGAAGTTCGTAATGGATACTACAGCCTGTGGCAGAAAATTGTCCGTGCAGGTCTACGTCTTCGTATAGCCCTCATATAACAGTACCTCTCGATATTCGATATTTTAATGATTTTAGCGACATTATTCTACGGAATTGGTTCAAATTTGGTATTTGAAGTTCGTAATGGATACTACAGCCTGTGACAGAAAATTATCTGTGCAGGTCTGCGTCTTCGTATAGCCCTCGATATTTTAATGATTTTAGCGACATTATTCTATGGAATTGATTCAAATTTGGTATTTGAAGTTCGTAATGGATACTACAGCCTGTGGCAGAAAATTGTCCGTGCAGGTCTACGTCTTCGTATAGCCCTCATATAACAGTACCTGCCGATATTCGATATTTTGATGATTTTAGCGACATTATTAACCGGAATTGTTTAAAATTTGGTATTTGAAGTTCGTAATGGATACTACAGCCTGTGGCAGAAAATTGTCTGTTCAGGTCTACGTCTTCGTATATCCCCCATATAACAGTACCTCCCGATATTCGATATTTTGATGATTTTAGCGACATTATTCAACGGAATCGTTTCAAATTTGGTATTTGAAGTTCGCAATGGATACTACAGCCTGTGACAGAAAATTGTCTATGCAGGTCCAGGTCTTCGTATAGGCCCCATATATCAGTACCTCCCTATTTTTCGGTATTTTTACGATTTAAGGTACAATGACCCACCGAAATTCTTTGAGATCTCGCATTTTAAGTTCGTAAAGGATGCTACAGCCTGTGACAGAAAATGGTCTATGCTGGTCGAGGTCTTCGCACAGCTCCGATGTAGATGGTACCTCCCTATATACGATATTTTGATTATTTTAGCTACATTTTGAGGCACCGTTTATTTGAAGTTTCGAATTTGAATATGGTAATGGGTTATGACAAAAAATGCCTATGTAGGTCCATACCGTTTAGAGCCCAATATAATGGCTATGTTCGGTATTTTTAAATTTTTAACAGAATTTTTATGGATTTTATTTTTTGAAAATTTCCAAACTCGTTCCAAATGGTGGAGGCTATTCCATTCAATAAATTTTTTCCATTCGATCACCTCAAGCAAGCGCTTCGCCGGAAATGGACCAAAATACCGCAGATCAACATTCGGGCAGCGTGTGAGGGTTTCATTGGCCGTTTGAAGGCGATAATTCGTGTCAATGGTGACCAATTCGAACAAATCTAAACTTATTCTAAAATTTGATGCTATTTCCGACATTTTTTGCTTTCATTCAATAACATTTAAAAAAGTGTAAAAATTATGTCGTTTGACTTTTTTGCAGTTTTTTTATCCACCCTGTATACCTTCTCCAGCCATATTACACAAAATTTTAAAAAAAAATTCAAAATATAAAATAAATAAATTCCAAGGAGTCATATAAACGATCCTCTCTTATAGAAAAGTTTATCGAAGTGAACTTTTCTCAAGGAAACGTTCATCGAAGAAGGAAAGTTAATTTTCTGTAGAACAGTTCACTATAATGCTCTTCTTCCTATAGACCTTCCAAACCTTTCCTATAGTCAATTTCATTGTAGTAAACCCTTCTTATATAAAAGTTCATCGAATTGGAATTTTCATATGGAAAAGTTAATCGAATAACATATTCTTATAGGAAAGATTCACCGTCGCAACTTTTCCCGAAAGTTCGTTGGGTTGAACGTTTCTTATGGGAAAGTTGAAATATGGTTCATCGATTGATTTTAATTTAGCAGATCATCATATTTTATCGTATTTTGCCTCTGTGATTTATCTCGTTCATTTTGAAAAATACATGAACGATTTTAAAATCTACAGCTCTCCTTTAGACAGCAGAACTCTTTCGTATCACAATACATCCATTCATAGCTACCCCAATTTTACAGTATACAATTTATTTTGATTAACTAGTCCAAGACATACAACGAACCGCAAAACTGTCACTGAACTTTCCCCGCCAGCAAAGAAGTTCGAAACGAATCTAGCCAAACCAAAAAACTAAAGAAAAAAACAAACCGGCACGTCTTTGCTTTGTGTCACACAGCACAACTATGTCGTGAATGTCGTTCGTGACATTTTTCCGGATTTCCATATAAAATCATCATCGTCATCATCAGCAGCAACAGCAGCAGCATTGCCATCACAATCCACAGTGGTGGCGGCGACACTGTCGTCTGCGATATGATGATCCATGTTGAGCGTTGTTGTTTGGTTATCACAGCGAGTGTCCGCACGACAACCAGCCAAAAAAAAGGAGAGCGAGCGAACGAACGAATGAACATTTCAATAAGTGTCAACTATTCCAGATGATTTCGTTTCAAATTGCCACTGGCATAACTGCAGTTCTTTTTATTTTTTTTTTTTGTTCAGAGGGTACACATGCACACCAACACACCTCGTTGTGTAGGTGTTTTGTGTAGCTCTATGTGTGTACACTGAGGGAAAAATCCCGTTGCGAAATCAAGCACGTATGTTGTCATTTTCGCAACGACCCGTTGTTATATTTTTCAACAACGGCTGTTGGTGAATTGTGCACGAACGTGCTCAAATTGACACCGAGACGTGGTCAACTTTCGGTACCAACAACAGCCGTGCTTAATTTGTCCATTTGTAATATTGGTAATTGCAGCCGATTACACACGAGTAAAAAATGACAACGGTGGTGCATGATTCACACACGGTCGTTGTCAATATGACACCGGTCGTGTATGAATTATGCACCACCACCTGCATAATGATGCACCACCGTTGTTACTTTGTACACCGACGTGCATGAATCGTACACGATCGTTGCCATTTTAGCAACTACCGTGTATGAATCATGCACCACCGTTGTCATTTTTTTTACTCGTGTGCAATCGGCTGCATATTTACCATTTTTTCCGTGTTATTGAAAGAGAAAGGACGCATTGTGCAAAAAATTTATTGAAAATGAATAATAATTCGCAAGATCCTCAAAATATCATTGGTGAGTTGTTAGAAATCGATGGCAATATTGTTGTGGTTCGCGATACAAACCATTGCAGCAGTCAAGATGCGGAAAACAATGAGGACGATTATATGTTAAGGGAGTTCTTAAAAGGAATAAATATGGAGTCGCTTTTTGAACAATTAAAAGGTAAGTAAATAAAAATGAATTTTTCAGTTAATCAGTGTAATTAACAAAGAATTTTCTTTTTTGTTCTTTTAGCATCACATGTAACATTTCGCAGCTTGCAGTACTTGAAAAAAGAAGATTTAAAGGAAGCAGTGCCACCATTGGGACTGCGTGTTGAATTCAGAGAAAAGCTCTTTGCTTGGAAAAAACGAAAGGTACGTATTATTTGTTTTACAGAGTTGAACTCAGTATTAATATTGTCATAACAATAGCTCGGGATTGATGACGAAACTATGTCAGTTCCATCTAAAATAGGTGAATGGTGGAAACGCAACGAGACACCTGCAAGTACTCCTGGTACTCCCGACACTACAGGTTCGAACTGCTCAAAAGCCAAAGGAATTTTGTCAGAGGTAAGGTAAGAGTAATATTTGTGTAAGCATAGTTAATGTAGTTTTTTTATTTAATATAGGATCTAACGGAATTGTTAACACATACCTCGAAGGGGAAACTAGCGCTTGAATGTAGTAGCGTTAATAAGAAATTAAGTGACGAGCAAAGAGATGATATAATTAATATAATTATTGAAGATATTTTAACCAACAATGTTACTCTTTACACTCAAGACTATATGCGCATATTGGATGAAATTTGTTCCGTTTTTCCTCTTGAAAACGAAATGAGGGTAAGATTAACAATATAAACAACGTATCTGATTATGTAGTTTCTTAACTTATAATATGTCTTTATTTTTAGGATTATTATTACATTTCAAGAAAAGGAAAGAACAACGCAAGCGGAAAACTTTATGCCAAGTATAGAAACAAGAAGTCCAAAAGAATAAAGCTTTTGATTTCCGAGCCTAGCACAAGCAAAGCAGCAACTCACACATCTCCTAATTTTTGTAACAAAGATGTTCCCGAAATTGATGAATCAGTTGAAAATTCATTGAAAGCTTCCTTACTAAGAGAATGTAATGATTGGGGATCGATCTGCGAAAAATGGAAAAGATCTTTTAACATACGGCAAAGAGATATAAAAAATTTAAGTAGCCATACATTTCTCCTTGAATGGACGAAGTTGTCCGATGCAAGAGCTTCAGAATTGGTAAGTAGCCATGAGCTATTTATTTGTATATGGATACTAATGTTTCGTTTTAGGTCAACATTGATTTCGATATTATGTATCCACAGAAAGGCAATCTTCTACTTTCTAAATGGGACCAATTTAAGAAAAAAATTTACAATTATTATGGGAAAAATATTCATAACGAACATTGCAAACAACTCTTCGCAAATGTTTTGACGGCAAGCAGCATAGGTAAATTTTAATTCCTGATTTATCATAAACATTAAAAGTAATATTTATTTTATATTTCGGTTGCAGATGCTCAAGATTATATATACGCAATACTGTTGAATTCAGTTTTACCATCACCTGCTAGGTTTAAATGTGGAAACGGTAAATTACGAAAAAAAGTAACAATAGCTGATTCGCAGGAAAGTTTCGTACTGCGACTACCGACAATTAACGATTATAAAAGGCAAATTGATACAGTCACTGAAAAGTATTACAATGCTGGATTAACTATACAGCCATTTATAATTGTGGAGGGTTTGTCCGATTTCAATATAAAAGGTTTTTATGTTTTTTTTAACCACAATTTGTTAAAATTTCAATCGTTCCTCGAATGTTTAGATACATGTTTTAAAATTTTTCATGCACTTTCTTTAAAATATCCAAATGCCTGCCAAATTCCATGGATTTTTATCCAAAAATATTTTTATGAAATTAATACTGTATATGATATAAAATCAGTTAATTTGACTTCACTTATTAATTTCTGCAACAATAATTAAAGTACAATTCAAAATGTATATTTGCTTTCGTTGCCGTAAGCATTTTGATAAGGCAAATCTTTTAATAGCTCATTTGAAAACAGACCATTTAATGTCCACTAAATTTTTAAAAGTACAATGCGTTCAGGACAACTGTAAGCAAACATTTACAAAATTTACGTCATTCAGAATTCATTTAGAAAAACTTCACAAGAATCACACAAAAGCTCCACCAATGGTTAAAGCCATTAATGTGCCAGTTGAAATGTCATCATCAAAAGAAAATGATTATACAAACAGTGAAACTGTTATTAACAACAATACAATAGAAAAGGATTTAAATGTTTTGAAAAAGAAAACCTTATATCTGTCTTTACAATTACATGGTCAAAGCTATATGCCTAGAAATCATGTTATAGAAATACAACATTCTGTTTCAATTCTGCTTTCATCCATTTCATGTACAATTGAAAAATATATAACTGATCATCCAAATTATGAAGACTTAAGGTACTTACTAAACTTTTGTAAAAATCCTTTCGAAGAAACTAGAACGGAATATAGACTTTTAAAAATTTTAAAAGAACTAAACTTTTATGATGATCCAAAGGTTTATGTAATTAGCAATCAAGTCTCGGAAATTGTTATCAGCGGAAATCCCAGTTTAGGTCCAAAGTTATCCAATATTTATATAATGCCACTGAAATTCATGATAAGTGCCCTTTTTAAAATTCCAAATCTCTTAGATTTGACATTAGAAAACTCCAAAAAAATCCTAAATTCACCTGTTTTACAAAATTTTACAAACGGTGAGTTATATAAAACTAAATTATTAAAATATCAGTACAATTTAGTTATTCCCTATGTCCTTTACATGGATGATTTTCAAATTAATAATCCTCTTGGAACCCATACATTTTCCATATGTGGTTGTTATATTAGCTTTCCTTCAATGCCACAGCACTTGTTGTCAAAACTTGATTATATATTAACTGCTGCGTTTATACCATCAAAGGATTTAAAAGAACGTGGAAATGAAGTTTCATTTCACAATCTTGTAGAAGAGTTAAAAATTCTAGAAGAAGGGGTTGAAATTTGTGTTCAACAAAGTGTTCAGAAGGTGCATTTTATTTTAGGTGTAATTATTGGAGATAATTTAGCAGTTAATAGTATTTTAGGCTACGTGCAATCATTTAACTCTAAAAGATTTTGCCGGGTATGTAGAAGAAAAAAGTCCCAAATGCAATCCGACGCAATTCAGCATTTAGATGGTTTAAGAAACCAAGAGAATTACAACTCAGATGTATTGGAAAATAATTTTCAAGAAACAGGTATTAAAAACAAGTGTATCTTCGAATCTTTACCAAATTTTAACGTCACTGAAAATTTTTGTTTTGATATTATGCATGACATTTTCGAGGGCATTTGTGTCTACGATATGTCTAATGTAATTCTCGGGCTGATTCAAGAAAATATTGTTACGTTAGATTGTATTAACAGCAGAAAATCTTTATTCCAATTTGGAGAAATTGAAGTGGGAAATAAATCTGGACCACTAGATTTATGTAGATTGAAAAACTATAACTTAAAAATGACAGCTAGTGAAACTATGTGTTTTACTCATTTTTTACCTTTTATGGTAGGTGATTTAATTCCTTTCTCCAACGATCACTGGAAAGTGTTTATAATATTATTACAAATAATCGATTTACTTTTAAGACCAAGTTATATAGGAGACGATTTAATAAAATTGGAAGAATTAATTAGAGATCACCATTCACTTTATATAACATTATACGGTTCGTTAAAACCGAAACACCACTTTCTTGTCCACTATCCCACTGCTATCCGAAAATGTGGTCCCCTTAAATATCTCTGGAGCATGAGATTCGAAGCTAAACACAAGGAAGCAAAAGCCTATTTAGGAAATACTACATCAAGAGTAAATCCCTGTCGTTCATTATCTATTAAGTCTGGATTGAAATTTTCCAATTTTTTATTAAAACACGAAGATAACTTAGAACCAAATGTTATCATTAATACGCATACCATCGAAGATTTGGCAAAAGAGGAATATTGTTACAAAAAACGTAAGCCAGTTTTAAATTACCAAAATTGCAAAGTGTCTGATGACATTTTTTTTAAGGGAACTAGGTATAAAAAAAACTATTATTTAGCAACAAATAATGCCGCAATTGAACTTTTCAAAATTAAACATTTAATAATTGAAAATGAAAATGTTTACATTTTATGTAACCAAGTAAAAGTTAAAAACTTTGATTATCATTTACAATCGTATGAAGTTGGTTCTCTGAATGAGGATACAATTTTTTTAATACCAATTTTAGATTTTATTACTTACCCATTTCACTTATATCCTATGAATAATGGAAAAGTTTATTTCAGATTTAAGTTAATTTAATTTGTTTCTATACATTGAATATATGTAATTCGAATTGTTTTGTTAAATCAAATATGTATTTATATTGAATTTATGTAATTGGTTTCGTTAAATAAAATACTTTTCAAAAAATTTCGTTTCTTCTACTAAGGGTATAAAATGGAAAAGGAACGGATATCAAAAAATGACCACCATTGATTTCAATCTGACAACGGGCGTTGACAATCCGACAACGGAGCGTTGACAATCTGACAACGAAGCGTTGACGATCTGACAACGAAGCGTTGACAATCTGACAACGGGGCGTGCTCGAAATGACCACGTATGTGCTCATTTCATGCACATCTGTTGTTGAAATCGTTGCCAAAATCTCGGTGTCAAAATGACAACGGCGTGCTCATTTTGACACCAAACGTGGTTGATACACTATCATACACGGATGTGGTCATTTCATACACGGATGTTGTCATTTTTTCTCTGGGTGTAGCTGTGTGCAGGATTGTGTACTTTGGTACTTACATTAAATATCTGTATGCTCATGTTGTTCATCTGTGACGAAATGTTTACAGTTGTACATTTGTTATTGGCTTACTTGTTGTTGTTTGCTGTTGTTGTTGCTGCCGTTGTTGATTCATTTCATTTTGAAATTTATTTTATTTCGTTTATTTTTTTATTGATATGAAAAGAAAACTCTGATTTTCGACACCAAACATCCACGGCAACAGCAGCAAAAAAGCATTCTATTACATTTCGTGACAATGATAAAAATCGATGCCGTGTTATTTGGCTATGTCAGCATATTTCAATAGCAACAAAAAATATTAACGGAATGCTGGAAAAAAAGAGGATGCTAAGGGCAGGGAAGAATTGTGGAATGCCCTATCGATACATCGGAGAGATTAATATTTTCCTATGGAGAAGTAAATTTCTCCGATGAACATTTTCAGTTCATCTGGGCGATGAACATTTTCCTATGGAAAAAGTTCATCTGGGCGATGAACATTTTCCTATGGAAAAGTTCATCTGGGCGATGAACATTTCCCTATGGAAAATGTTCATCTGGGGCGATGAACTTTTTCCGATGGAAAAGTTCATCTGGGGCGATGAACTTTTTCCGATGGAAAAGTTCATCTGGGGCGATGAACTTTTTCCGATGGAAAAGTTCATCTGGGGCGATGAACTTTTTCCGATGGAAAAGTTCATCTGGGGCGATGAACTTTTTCCGATGGAAAAGTTCATCTGGGGCGATGAACTTTTTCCGATGGAAAAGTTCATCTGGGGCGATGAACTTTTTCCGATGGAAAAGTTCATCTGGGGCGATGAACTTTTTCCTATGGAAAAGTTCATCTGGGGCATCTGGGGCGATGAATATTTTTCCTATGGAAAAAGTTCATCTGGGCGATGAACATTTTCCTATGGAAACTTTTCTCATAACTTTTCCTTGATGCCAAACCGATGATCCTTATTGAACTCTGTCATTGCTTAAGGTAGGATATGAAATCTAGAAATGAAAACATGCCCTCGCACACACACACACACACATATGGAAAATTGTTTACATTTGGGTTTATCACGTACGCTGGAATAGCAGCATCAGCAGCACCAACAGCAGTGACAGCATTAGCATCAACGACTTCGACATCGACATGGCATGGCTGGGTAATGGAATACATGTTGCTTAAATATTGAATCACCAATGCCGATGACGACGATGATGATGATTCCCATTTTGTTGGCTACATTTTAAATATCAAAACTTTTTCTTGTTTAGTTTTTTTCTCACTCTTCTCCTTTTTGAGGGGGGTAATAGTTGGAGAGGGTCTTGGGAATAGAGAGAGGAGAAGGAAGCACAGAGATTATATCGATGCTAAAGTTCATGCAAAATGAATTTGGGACACTCGAGTCTGTGTTCTCAAGTGTGTCCTGTGTATGTGCGTGTGTGTTTGTTATTGTGTGTGTGTGAATTGAAATCTAAATTAGAAGAGACACGTTTTAGATGCATGACAATGTAAATTTGTAGTTCTATTGCTAAGATATTCGACATAATGGATATTCTATATTAAGGATAATACCCGCTTGCAAGTTTTTTCTCTCTTTTCTTTGCTCTCTCGCTCTCTCTCTATCTCTTTCTTATGCTTCATCCTTTGAACATTTGGTTTGCTGCTGTCGTTCGTGTATATTAAAAATTTAAAGAAAAACCACAAAATGTTACTTGTAATAGATAATAAAATTGCCATAGACTGGTGTATCTAGTGCTTACGTGTGTGTGTGTGCGTGCGTGTGAAGGAGATTCTATATATGTATATGTGAAACCAATGTTGAATATCATGAATCTGTCGTTTCTTGTCTTGTTAATAAAATCTAAACAATGAACATGAACAGGGTTTTTTTGTGGTAATTTCGGTTTCCGTTTTTTGCTCTGATTTCGAAATTGCTTTGATAAAAATCACAGAACAATGTTCAAGATATGATAATTTGTTTGCCATATTTCAAATTCTGTCGGAAAAATGTTAATTGAAATGCAAACAATATATTTGTTAAGCTAGCCAATAAATCAAGAGTTTTTCCAAGAATGGCAATTACAAATTTAAAATAATAAACTGGATCAAGTTTTCATTCTATTTTTTTTTTTTGTGGTGCTGTAGAATTTTAAATTGTTTTGACATGTATTGAATTGCATGTCGGCATTTAATTGCTAGTTTAATGGAAGTGATGGAAAAATCATGGTAATATTTATGCAAATTTCAAATAGACAAGTTTTACATGGATCTGTACGGAGAAGTTTTTCTACAGAAAAATCAAATTCGATGAACTGTTCCTACAGATAAGTTTAATTTGATGTTATTTTTCCATAGAAAAGTCAAAATCGATTAACTTTTTCTGTAGAAAAGCTCACAACGAATCCAAGTTCTTATGGAAACAAAGTCCCTAAAGAACAGAGAAGCAAAGCCACAATGAATTCTTGATCCAAAAACCCCCGAGGAAAACGAAAATGAGACAGCTTTGGACCAGTCAGTCAAAGTCTCCGAGAAGCGTATCGAATTCCAGCCCCCCTCATTATATAGGTGAAATTTCTGTTGAACAGCAAACCCTAGTCTCCAGCGAGCGAGTCAAAGTCCCTAAAGAACAGAGAACCAAAGCCACAAAGAAAATCTTGATCCAAAACCTCCGAGGAAAACGAAAATGAGATAGCTTTGGAACAGTCAGTCAAAGTCTCCAAGAATCGTAACGAATTCCAGCCCTCCTCATTATATAGGAGTAATTTCTGCTGAACAGCAAGCCCTAGTCTCCAGCGAGCGAGTCAAAGTCCCTAAAGAACAAAGAACCAAAGCCACAATGAATTCTTTTTCCAAAACCCGGAGGAAAACGAATATGAGACAGCTTTGGACCAGTCAGTCAAAGTCTCCGAGAAGCGTATCGAATTCCAGCCCCCCCTCATTATATAGTTGAAATTCCTGTTGAACAACAAGTCCTAATATCTAGCGAGCGTTTTAAAGTCCCTAAAGAACAGAGAACAAAAGCCACAATGAAAATCTTGATCCAAAACCCCCGAGGAAAACTAAAATGAGACATCATTGGACCTGGCAGTTAAAGTATCCGAAAAACATACCAAATTCCCCCTCGACTATATGGTGAAATTCCTGTTGAACAGCAAACCCTAACCCCTATGTGACGTAGTAACGAGGTCTCTGTGTCAATTAATTTATTTCCAGCTGAAATTTTCACTTTAATTTTCATTGTCTTTAGTGAAGGATCAAAACACACAGAGTGATTGAGAATTATTCCTTTGCATGCTATACGAAATGTAGATGGAAATTCATTAATTCTTTTAGAATGTATGTTAAAGCTAAAAGCTAACAGTACTTTTAGGTTAACTTCTAAAAAAAATATTTAACAAGGAAAAAAGCAGTTTATTCGGCCGGGCCGAGATTTGAATACCCTCCACCATTTGGAACTAATTTGGAAATTGAAAAAAAAAAAAAAATAAAATCTCGGCCGAACTTTGGAACGAATTTGAAAATTTTCAAAAAAATAAGATCCATTAAAAATTCTCATAAAATCTCCAAAATACCGATTATAGTCGTTATATTGAGGTCTATACGAAGACGTGGACCTGCATAGGCATTTTTTGTCATAAGCCATTATAATATTCAAACACGAAACTTGAAAAAATCCGGTGAATGATGTAATAAAAAACCGAATATAGGGATGTACTGTTATATCGAAGACCTACGCGAAGATCTTGACCTGCATAGACAATTTTCTGTCACAGGCTGCAGTAACTATTAGGAACTTCAAATACGAAATTTCAAACAATTTCGTTGAATATTGTACCTAAAATCGCCAAAATACCGAATATAGGGAGGTACTGATATATGGGGCATATACGAAGACCTGGACCTGCATAGACAATTTTCTGTCATAGACTGTGATTCCCATTAGGAACTCTAAATACGAAATTTGAAATATCTCCGGTTAATGAGGTAGCAAAAATCGCCAAAATACCCAATATGGGGAGGTACTGATGTATGGGGCCTATACGAAAAACCTAGTTCCTAAAAACCTAATTCCCATTACGAAATACGAAATTTGAAACATCTCCGTTGAATAACGTCGCTAAAATCATCAAAATACTGAATATAGGAAGGTAACGTTATATGGTGGCTATATGAAGACGTGGGACTGCATGCGCAATTTTTTGACATAGGTTGTAGTTCCAATTATGAATTCTAAATTCGAAATTTGAAACAACTCCGGTGAATAATGTTCATAAAATCGTTAAAATATCGAATGTCGTGGACCTATAAAGACATTTCTCTTCCAGGAGGTAAAGTGCTTAGAAAGAACTTCTAGTATGAATTTTTAGACAATTCCATTGAAAAATGTAGATAAAATCATCAAAATACCGTTTTATGGGGCATTTAAGATATCGTGGACCGATATAGGCCATCTTCGAACTTGACTTCCCTGCAGACAAAAGGCTGATCTGTGCAAAATTTTAGCTACCTATCTTTATTCGTTTAAACTCAAGCGTAATTACAACAGGCGGACAGGGACGGACGCTGATCAAGAGTATATATACAGGATGAGATAAAAAACCCGCAACAAAGTCAAACGTCATAAATTTTACATTTATTTTTAGTTTTATAGAATGAAAGCAAAAATTGTCGGAAATAGCATCAAATCCTAGAATAAGTTTAGATTTGTTCGAACTGATCATCTTTGGCAAGAATTATGGCCTTAAAACGGCCAATGAAACCGTCACACCCTGCCCGAATGTTGCTCTGCGGTATTTTGGCCCATTTCCGGCGGAGCGCTTGCTTAAGATGATCGACACTTGGGTATTTTTTAGTGCCAACCTTGCTTTCCAAAATACTCCAGACACAATAGTCCAACGCATTGGTATCCGGAGATTTTGGTGGCCATTGTGCGTGTGGAAATGAAGCGAGGAACCTCATTTTGTAACCATTATTGGATGGCG